CAAGACCCTGCAGGCACCATGGTCACAGCCCCCAGAGCCCCTGCATGTCCTCTGTTTGGCAATCCAAGAACACCTCCCCGAGGCTAAAGCTGCCACCGGCCCACTGCAGCCCAAGAGCAGAGCTGGGTGGGGAGGCAGGCCAGAGGCGAGCAGGGCGGGGAGGGTCTGGGGCCTCCCACTCACCGTCCATGTGGTTCCGGGACAGGTACTTGAGGGCCTCGTCCAGCAGGATGACCGGCAGGGATATCTGGAGCACCACTACCCACTGGCGCCCGCTCAGTGGGGTCACCTGGAAAATGAGCTGGAGGGGGCAGTTTGGTTAAAGGAAGGACTGCCCAGTGCCCCTGCATTCACCCACTTCACATACCCAGCTACAGGGGCTCTTCAAGAGCAAGTCCAAGATGTCCCTCGAGGTCCCACCTCTGATCTCTGTCCACCCTGTTCCCTCTGCGTGAAGTGCCTTCCTCTGCCCTCCCCCTCAGGACCAAATCCCATGGGTCCTGCTGAGAATGGGAAAGAGCTCAGTCTTTCCTCCTGCCCCAGCCTTGGGAGACTCTCTACCTCTTCTTTCCTCAAGTCTGGGGGCTCCCGAAGGATAGGACACGTCTGGAGGACGGTGGCTGGCCTCCCCTCTCCCAGTCCTCCAGGAAGTTTCCATCGCAAAGGGGCCCAGAAAGGCCAGAGGATTAGGACGCTGTCACCCCAGAGCAGGGGAGTGGGGTAGGGCGGCGACTCACGGGCAGGGGCGGCACCAGCAGGATGAGGAAGTGCAGGGCCATGGACATGGCCACGGCTGCCAGAAGCCAGGGGTTCAGCCAGGGCGGCATCCGCAGCAACGACTGGTTCTCTGAGACGCTGCCAAGGGCACAGGGCGCTCACCTCGGGCCAGGCTGCGGGCAGGCCCTGCTGCGGGCACCCATCCACCCCCCCATGTGGAGATGCAGGGGGTGGCCTGAGCCTCAGCATTTCCTTAATTGGGCCTACGGACCGGAACGCTTCTGGGAGGCCAGTGCAGCCCAGAGGGGTGTGTCACTGCGGCCTGCTCAGCCCCCAAGGCCGTCTCCTAGGGCTTAGACCCCCTTTCTCCATCCCTCAGACCCAATCCTGGCCCCTCTATTTCTCCAGACCCCAATCTTGGCCCACTTTGTCCCCTGGATCCCAATTCTGGGCCCCATTGACTCTCAGAACCTTCTTCTGGACGCCTCTGCCCCTCCGACTCCAATCCTGGGCTCCCTGACCCTCAGCCCCAAATCCTGGACACTTCTGACCCTCAGACCCCAATCCTGGACACCTCTGACCCTCAGACCCCAATCCTGGACCCTCTGACCCCAATTCTGGGCCCTGCCTGACCCTCAGCCCCGACTCTTAAGCCTCAGCCCCACCCCTCACCCCAGCTCCAGGCCCCTCTGCCAGGCCCACCTGTTGAGGGCGTTGCACATTTCAATGGTCACCAGCACAGACAAGGCCATGGTTGTGGGGAAGCGTGACTCGAAGACCTTGCAGTCGATGTCAGCAAAGAGCGGGTTGTCCTCGGAGCACTTCAGGAAGTTCCTCTGAGGGCACCGCGGTGGAGTTGGGTGGGGTCGGGGAGAACGGTGGTCAGGGGAGGGGCCGGTGTGTGAGGAGAGGGAAGCCTCACTCCGCCTGCAGCCCACATCTGAGGACTCAGAACAACCAGTGGGCAAAGCAGTGCCATGGGAGGCTCCAGGGAGGGGTGCTCACCCAGGATGTGGGCGGAGGGGCTGCACTGGCCAGCGAGAAGCATTTGCACCAATGGGCAGACTGTTCTGGGGCAGGGGAATGGAGGGACAGAGGGAGAGCAGTTGGCATTAGGCTGGGGAGGACGGCAGGGGACCCTGGGATCAGGGGAGGGTCTAGGCTTTACCCTGAAGGTGCACGGGGGCCCTGAGCATCAGAGGTGCAGGAGTGGGGGTGGTGATTAACTGAGACCACTGAATAAGGAAATGCATAGGAAAACCAATAAGCAAAATTATGCTTGAACAGAATTCACCTGTGGTTGGTAGACAATGAAGGCTACACATGCCCTACTCACTATTAATAAAGAAGATCCCATTCACACCTGCCTCCATCTCTGCACTGAAATCGACCTCTACCAGACCTGCTTTTTGCTTCTGACATGGAGCATGAACTGCCAGGTGCAGTCTTGCTACACAGCTTCATCATAACAAGAAGCTCTCAGGGCTGGATAACGGAAGTGGCCCTCGCCCCTGCAGCCCCAGGGGACAGTTTTCTTCCTGCTTAGAAACCTTGCTCACAGAATCTGCTGTGATAACATGCCGAACTGAGGACATGCGTGAGAACTTCTGTCTTGTTCTCTTCCGCATCACGGGGACGAGTGCGAATGTGCATAACCGTTAAACAGCTCCGCTCTCCAAAAAGATAAATCTGTCCTCTGGAGTCTCATCTTTTAAGCTCTTTTAAGGCAAGAACACAGAGATCTTTTAAGCTAAGGGTTTAGAAACTGGGGCCACGTGCTGTAAAAATAACTCTCAAAGAGAAAGCTGTAAAATGACCGGCTGTCTGATCTGTCCAGTAAACACATCCCTGTTTTCCCACAGTGTGTAAATGCCGGTAAGGCGACTGTCAGCCAGAAGGGGCCGCTGGCACTTCCCTCTTCTTGCTCATGCAGGAGGAAAAATTATAGAATATGGCTTGGCTAGATTTCTTAGTTTAACAAAGAGGTGGAGAATCTCATCTCATCTAAATCAACAGTGAGATTTTTCTCCAAAAGCCAAGCTACAGTATTTGGGTCAAGTGCACGTTTTTATTTGGTGCCGATCACAGAGTAGAGGAAATGTCCTGAACTTTGAACCCACTCACAACCTAGAGGACCAAATGCTCCTGTCACTTGTGCCACCACCGTCAGGCCCCACCTCCCAGATCTTAACGGCCTACGCGTGTACACACACACACACACGCAGCGCACACACCTCCCACTCGGGCATGTGCATGCTTAGATCCTTATGCACGTGCACAGGAAGGCAATATAAACAGGATCATATCAACAAGTTTCAATAGATAGACACCCGGCCCAGTTCAGACCTCCTGGGTCTCACCAGTGAGCACCTGCCACACGTGCATTATGGCCCAGGTTGTGGGTCACAGTGCAGCCTCCTGATTGTTTATTAGAAGGTGCTCAGGGTTGGCACGTCTGTCTCACAGGTTCATCAGGAGCCCCTGTGGGGGTGGGGGCCTGTTTCTTTGGGTGAAGCCGCTGCTCTGCCTACTCCTTCCCTTTGCCTCCCTGGCTATTTCCTTTTTTTTTTTTCTTTTGGTGAGGAAGATTGGCCATGAGGTAACATCTGTGCCCATCTTCCTCTATTTTGCATGTGGGATGCTGCCACAGCATGGCTTGATGAGTGGTGCATAGGTCCCCACCCTGGATCTGAACCCGGGCACCCAGGGCTGCTAAAGCAGAGTGCGCGAACTTAACCAGCCACCAGGCTGGCCCCCAACTATTTCTTATTTACCTTATCCTGGGAGCAAGGCCTCCTCTGGGTTTCATTCACTTAATTAACACTTACATAGCTCTTGCTATGTGGCAGGGTTTGGTCTAAGCACTTTATAAGTACTGACTCACTTAATCCTCTCCATAACCCTAGGAGGTAAGGACTATTATTAACCATTTTACAGATGAGGAAACCAACAGAGAGGTTAAGTAGCCTGTCCAAAGTCACACAGCTAGTGTGTGGTGGAACTAGGGTCTGAACCCAGGCAGCCTGGATCCAGGCTCCATGCTCTCTGCTCGTAACCACTCTCCGCCCTTTGGCAGCTTCCTCCAGGAACCATGGGGCTCTGGGCTCCTCTCCTGAAATTCCAACAACTGGAGATGAAAGTTCTACCTCAGGTCTAACCTTGACCACCTCCGAGTCCCACAGCCCCCTGCCTTTTCTCCACGGAAGCACTTCTCACCTCGAAATGTGACTGCCCATTTCCGTGGCTCTCTCCCCCACCAGAGAGTAAGCTCTTTGCAGAGACCACCTGCTGGGTCACTGTCACAGCTCTGGTAACTTGTGCCTGGCACACAGTTGGTGCCTAATAGCCATTTCTTGACCAAGTAGATAAATGAGAAAGGGAATGACCTGAGGAGTTGGGAAGGTGACACCAAGGGGACTGGGGACTGATGAGTAGTGGGTGTTGGGTGGGTTGTCTAGCACGACCCCCAGGTGCCTGGCTTGGGTGACCACACAGGAAGCAGAACCGAGATGGGGATGGAGGAGAAGACTGTTTGGGGGAAAGGTGATAGGGTTGATTTTGGACTTGGAGAGTGCAGCGGGCCTGTGGGACATCCCAGAGGAGGCTCCAGCTGGATACATGGGACTGGGCTCAAAAGAAAGGTCAGGGAGAAGGTCCTTGGAGGTTTGGGGTCCACAGTATACAGAATGGTAACAGAGACAGGCCTGGAGAAGGCAGCAGCTAGGCAATGAGCATCCCCACTCTGCACCATGCTGCTCCCACAAGAGCTAACTGAGCAGAGGCACCTGAGGCTGGCCTGACCTCTGCCAAGCGCTGAGGGCACCAGCCTTGGGATGGGAGCCTGGGCCCACGCTCTGCACTGTAGCCAGAAGGGAGAGCCCCTTGTACTTGAGGGCTGGTGGGTGCCAGGAAAGCGCCCCTGTGCTGCCTCTACCTGGATGTGAACCTGCAGAACCCCTGAGAGAGCCCTCACATTGCCCTTGGGGTGGGGAACACCGTGCAGGGGAGAAGCCACCTGATCTGCTCCCCTGACACTCCCAGGGATGGGCAGCAAGTCAGGGTCCCTCCCTCGAGCTCTCCTATCTACAAGAAAGCAGCAAAAGCAGGCACCTCAGAGGAAGAAAATTCTGCATCCCTGCAGCTCTCGGCTTTAAACGAGAAACAACTGGCTTTGCAGGCATCACCGTGAAGGCTCTTTCAAGGAAAGGAGATGCACTGGCTGCTCAGACAGAGGAACAGACTGACAGACAGCAGCTGAGGGGGCTCCTTGCTTGCTTCCAGAGCTGAGCTAAGCCAGCCCGGTGGTGAGCACCTGCCAGCCAGGAGACTTCAAGAGGTCCGTGGGTCCCTTCCCCAAGAAAGATGTTGGCTATGGGAAGTGGGGGAGCGTGGAAGATTCCTTCCCTCCACCCTTGATCTCCTCTTGACCCTCTGCCTGAAGTCCCACCATTTAGGGGCTCATATCTTGGAGCCTTCAACGTTTGGGGGTTTCCCAATAAAGGCACTCCTGGGCAGTGATACCCCTTGGTCCCCCCTAACTAAGTGACTGGGAGAGGAAGTAGTGTCTTCCCTGGCCCAGGGGCTGGGCTGCCATCTCTAGGTTTCTTGTGGCTTTGGCAATTGGCTCTTAGTGATGGATACCCATATGTGTGCATGGGGGTGGGGAGGGACAGCGTGGGCCAACCACGGGGTTCTGGGCCCCTTTCCCTTGGAACTCCAGCAACAACCCGGGCTGAGAGCTACCTCAGAAACAACCCCAACAGGCTCCCCGGCCGCCACTTGCTCACCAGCTGGTAGAAGGTGACGTGAGGTCCTTCGGCATCATACAGGAACCACCAGGTGGCGGCAGCCACTGTGGCCAGGCCAACGTACACTGTAGGGAGGGCAGGAGGAAACCAGCTGTACTAGGCAGCTGTGGTTTTCTGGCATCCATTTCTCCTTCCTAATAATGCCCTGAATTTCCGTCAGGGAATCACCTTCTCCCTCTCCAAGCCATGTGGTTTGCAGCACCTGCCCTCGGTGCCAGCAGTGGGCCCTGACAGGCAATCAGCATCTGCCACACTTCTGACCACAGCAATTGGCTAGGAGATAAGCAGATGACCCATGTGGGCCAAGAACAGGCCTGAGACTTTTATCATACTACTGAGGTATGTAGTATGTAGTAGTATGATAAAAGGCTCTCTTTTCTACTGAGTTTGAGGTTGTAATGGAGCGAGCATGAGGGCTGGAGCTGCAGCAGCCATTCTGCCACCCCAAGGGGCACTTACCTAAGAATAGACTGAGGCAGAGCAAAAACATGCCAGTGATACTGTCTGTATCCTGGATCCAGCCATGCCTGAGGCATGCCCTAGTCTTTTCTGTTACATAAGCCCATATAGTTTCTTTTTGCATAAGCCAGGCTGAATCATACTGTCTACAGTTTGCAAGCCTAACTGATATACGGGTCTTAGGAAGCTCCTGGAACCCCACTGAGGGCTGGGACCCCACTCACCTCCAATAGCCAGATATCGGAAGAAGAGCCAGCCACTGATGAGGGCCTCACGAGGGTTCCGGGGCAGCTTCTCCATAATGTCCAGGTCTGGGGGGTTGAAGCCCAGGGCCGTGGCAGGTAGGCCGTCCGTCACCAGATTCACCCAGAGCAGCTGCACAGGGATCAGGGCTTCGGGCAGGCCCAGAATGGCCGTGAGGAAAATGCTGGAACCAGAGTTATGGGCTCTAGCCCTCAGAAAATGGAGGGTCCAGCTCCTACTCAGACCCCCAGCCAGGGAGCTCACCCACTGTCTCCCCAGCAGCCCCACCTTGCTCTGCTAGTTCTGACGTGTGTGCACGAGTGAGAGGTGTGTGTACACGGCTCTGCCTTACATTGGGCCACCCTGTCTCCCCCAGTCCCAGCCCTGGAGCCAGGACATATGTGCTCTTCAGGCCTCTCCTCTCTAGGGCATGCGCACACACATGTGGACAGTGCACGCCCAAGCATACACACATTTGCTCACAAACGTGCAAAAACCTAGCACAGGCCACACAATCCCACAAACACAAGTAGACACCTACACGCTTGCCCTGACGTGCAGAGATGCAGAACTCACACACGTCCGGCAGAAAAGTGCTCATTGGTCCACACAGGCATCTCTCACATGTGAACCTGAATGTGTACACAATTACATGCTGGCACAAATCCTCTGCACTTGTATCCACGCCCAAAGATGACCAAGAGCACACATGCACACGTGTACACACACCTCACTCAGGCATGCACACCATGAGTAACACAACTGTGTGCACACATACATGTGCACACACGAACACATTACTGCCCAAAGGTGGGGACAGTTTTCCCGCCTGGCTTGACTCTGAAAGTGGGAAGAAGGTTATGGCTGGAGGGATGTAGGGGACTTTTCAGGCACCTCCTTGGGGACTGGGGTGCACCATGGCCTCTGGAGAATGATGAGGTGTCCTCGCCCCTGCCCACCCTGAGGTGGGACCCTGGAAGGCTCCAGCCAGGGCAGTGCCCATGTCCCTCCATCCCTGCAGCCCCAGGAACAAGCATCTCCCCCGTCTCAGGGACTCAGAGCTGGTCCAGAGGGCTGGGAGGAGGGAACGCAGGGCCTCACCAGACGACCTCGCCGACATTGGAGGAGATGAGGTAGCGGATGAATTGCTTCATGTTGCTATAGATGGCCCGGCCCTCCTCCACCGCAGCCACGATGGAGGCAAAGTTGTCGTCTGAGAGCACCATCTCTGCCGCCGACTTGGCCACGGCTGTGCCAGAGCCCATGGCAATGCCGATCTCTGCTTTCTTCAGGGCTGGGGCATCATTCACCCCGTCTCCAGTCTGGGGGCCAGGTCAGGTAGGATCACATATGAGAAACTTCCCTTTCACCTCTCTGACCCCCCTCAACTCAGCCTATCGCAAGTTCAGGAGATGTCCCCAGGAAACAGACAGCTGGACAGAACAAATGGCGAAGTCAGGAATGAGCTTAGAAATTGGGATGGGGGTGAGGCTAAGGAGGAAGCAAGAGGTGCAAACAGGACAAAGTTGGGGAGAAGATCAAGTCTAAGGTCAGAGAGGATGGTGAGGTGGGGAGGGGGATGAGGGTGGGCCAGCGATGAGGGCGGGGATGGAATTCAGGTTGGATGTCGTGTAGAAGATGAAATTGAGGTTAGGGGCAAAGTTAAGGTCAAATCAAGGCTGCAGCCCAGGTCAAGAACCAGGCAGGTGCTGTAGTCAAGGTGAAGGTTGAAGTCAAGGTGAAGGTCAGGGTCAAGACCAGACTCAGGCTCAAGATTAAAAATTAGATTAAGAAAGAGGTCAAGTCAAAGTCAGAGGCCAAGTCAAGGTTACTGTCCACAGCAGCAGTGATGTTACAGTCGGGGTTGGAGCTGCAGTCAAGGTCAAGACTGGAGGCCAGATCAGTTGAGGTCGCTATCAAGTACCGGGTTGGGGGGTGTCAAGGTGATGTCAAGGATCAGGTCAGGGTCCAAGTCAAGACTGGAACCCATATGAGGATTGAGCTCAAAGTAAAGAATCAGATTAAGATGGTCAAGGTCAACATCAGGGACCAAGTCAGCAGGAAGGTCAAAAATAAGTTCCAGAACCAGGTTACAGTTGTAGTCACGTCAAGCTTGGTGCCCAGCTCAGTATCCAGGTCAAGACCGGGCCGCAGGTCAGGATTAAGGTTATGGTAAAGGACTGGAGGTCAACAGAGGCCAGGTCAGAGGGGAGGTCAAGGTCAAGGATCAGATCCGTGTTGATAAATAGGTCAGCAATCAAGAATGACACAGAAAAAAACTGGGCCCAAGCCAGATGTCCACTCAAAGGTGAACGGATAAACTGCGATATACTCACCCAACTTACTCAACAATAAACATGCAATCATCTACTGATACCACAACAACAGGGATAAATCTCAGAAGAAAGAAGCCAGACACAAAAGAATACATACTCTATGATTCCATTCATACGAAAATCTAGGACAGGCAAAACTAACCTAAACAATCAGAATGGTGGTTGCCTGTTGTGGGAGAGGGGCCTGATGGGGAGGCAGCGGGAGGGAACTTCATGGGTCAATGGCGATGTTCCTCTATGTAGATAGGGGTTTGCCTGACACAGGTGTGTGCATTTACCAAAACTCATCAAATGAGTGGTACGCTTAAGACTTGTGCATTTCATTACATGCAAGTTTTACCTCAAAAAGGAAAAACAGAACCACAAACAAATACTGCTCTCTAGAGTATGGATCCTAAAGTATCTGAGGGTGAAGTGCAACTTACTTTGAAATGCATTTGGATTAAGGATGGACAGACAGATAAGTATGTGATAAACCAAATATAACAAAATGTTATTTGTAGAACCCAGATCGTGGATATATAGGCGTTCACTATAAAATTATTTCAAATTCCGTGTTTAAAATTTTTTGTAATAGGGGCCGGCCCCGTGGCTTAGCAGTTAAGTGCGCGGGCTCTGCTACTGGCAACCCGGGTTCGGATCCCGGGCGCACACCAACGCACCGCTTCTCCGGCCATGCTGAGGCCGCATCCCACATACAGCAACTAGAAGGATGTGCAACTGTGACATACAACTATCTACTGGGGCTTTGGGGGAAAAAAAGGAGGAGGATTGGCAATAGATGTTAGCTCAGAGCCGGTCTTCCTCAGCAAAAAGAGGAGGATTAGCATGGATGTTAGCTCAGTGCTGATCTTCCTCACAAAAAAAAAAAATTTTTTTGTAATAAAATGTTGGAAAAAATAAGAATGAAGCAGAGGCAGGGTACACAGGTTGCTCTTTCCAAGCCCTGCAGCAAGCGCTCCCCCACTCCGCCCCCAGCCTCCCGTCCTGTGGCCTCACCATAGCAGTGATCTCGTGAAAGGACTGTAAGTTCTCCACGATTCGGGACTTGTGTGCAGGTTCCACACGGGCAAAGCAGCGGGCCGTGCGGCAGGCGTGGCGCTGCTGCTCGGGGCTGAGGTCATCGAATTCGCGGCCTGTGTAGGCCTTGCCTGTCACGTCCTCCGTGTCCTCGAAGATGCCAAGCCGGTGGCAGATGGCCACGGCAGTGCCTTTGTTGTCTCCTGTGATCATGACCACACGGATGCCCGCCCGGTAGCAGCGTGCGATGCAGGCAGCCACCTCGGGCCTCGGAGGGTCCAGCATGCCCACGCAGCCCACGAAAGTCAGGTCCGTCTGTAGGAGGGGGCAGATGCAAGTGGGGCCTGGGCCCAGCCTGCTGCCTGCCCAGCCACTGTGGGCAGACCCTGGCTCCCAGCCCTGGGCCCATCTTCAACCTGCTGCCTGCCCGGCCACTGCGGGCACACCCTGGCTCCCAGCCCTGGGCCCTGCCCCCACACCCACCTCGTACTCCACAAACTTGCTGCAGTCGTCCAGCTGCATGTCCTCCTTCCTCGGGGGTGCATCTCGGGTGGCCAGTGCCAGGCAGCGCAGCGTGTCCGAGCCTGAGCCCCAATCACGGATCTTGGCCAGGATGTGCTCCCGGGAGGTGGGGTTCAGGGGTACCGTGCGGCTCCCCACGCGCACTGAGCTGCA